AGGAAGAAGACGGTATCGTAACAAAAACTGTTAAAAGTTGTGTTCTTTCTGCAAATCGTCCGCAGTCTCGGAATAGGTTTACACCGATAAAGCGCAGTAGTTTCCGACTTAAAAGATTCAGTGCCATCAAAACTCTGCTGAAAATCTTGTTATGTAACTCTTTCTAAACCGGGTGTAACGGTGAATGACCGCAATCCTATGTTCCTAGTGCTTAGGAGATCATTTATTGTCACTGTTTCATCGAATTTCAGCACCTGCTGTACTGCATGCATCTCGAATGATTTTACTCTCTAGAGCTACCTCGCCATTCTCAGGAGCTGATACTCCTTATATGCTACGACATGAGCATAAAAATGTGTTCCTGCGCCGGCTTATGTTAAAAGGTGTATAATTTATCAAACCGTTTTTTCTCTCTCGGCATATTGCACTGCTTTTTGTAATATATAATGGCAGTCTAGCACTGCATATACTCAGATACCACGAGGCTGTGACCTATTCAGATATCTCATGGGTAATTCTGAGCAATTAGCCATACTATTCCGTATTTGATGTAATCAGCAATGCAAACGTGTTTTTGGTGTTTATAAGACAGTCATTATATGTATTCTACATGAATATCTTAACTGTAAGACAATATAGGAAAACACATTGTTTCGCAGTGGATATTTTGTTTATTACTTATATTGTATGATGCATTGGTGTTCTCCATTAATGAGTATATATACATGACTGAAACTAGTATTGATTTGTTTTTTGTATGAATATGATGATGCGGGTATGGTTGTCAACGGAGCCTCAGTATTCCCGTTTAAATCTTTCACAGCTGAAATTGTGCTTCGATTTAACAGTGACAGTTTTATTGACCGATTGATTACGAGAAGTGCTCGTTATGCTTTGCACCTTAAAGTTCCGAGGTGTAACTCTAGCAAGGTAGTACGCTGTGACCTAATAACTGCCAATTTTTTTGGAACAGGATTGTTTCAATGGAACCAATCGAGAAATGGCTGCAGATTATTTATCTCTGAGCAGTAGGGATACCATTGTGATTTGGTGAAGTCATAATGCTTGCGAGGGTATCGCTATGCCATCGTATGTGGACATTGCGGCTTCATTTCGCCTTAATCATCACATGATTAAAGGAAACTACTCAAAATATTAACTGTAGGTGTAAAAAGAGTTAAAAAAAGTTTGTTATATGATAAGAACATAGAGTAAACAAAAAATCATAAACTAAATGTAAAAATTGGAAAAAATAAAAGCATTTGGGTCATTTTTATGGGCCACTACTATTTTCTTCATTCCGTTTATATTTCAACATGATGTTTATTTTTTGTTCTGTACTTTAGTCGTTTTAGATAAAACAGGAAATAAGCTCTGGGAATTCATACATGAAGCACTTAAAGATCCTGAAACTAGTCCGTCCATTGTAAAGTACGTAGCTCTACTTCTTTTAACGTATTTTCGTTGATTGATAGTGAAAGCCAAACTAGGTGTTAATGATTCTGAGATGCGTGAAATAGTTGTTTTGATACAAGAATATTAATTATGATTGATGCTTACATGCAATGTCTCTTGCTCTGGAATTTTTTCGTTCCGCTTTTTTCAATTGTTTCTTCGTTTTTACGTTAAACTTTCTCGCTTTTTTGTTTTGTTTAGTAGTCTGGTCGAAGTGCAGCGCGGTATATGTTCTAGTTCACAACTGTTTGCTTTTGATTCAGATGGGAGAACGAGAACGAAGGCGTCTTCCGAATCGTAGAATCTGAGAAGCTTGCCAGACTTTGGGGTCAGAAGAAGAATAATATGCGCATGACCTATGAGAAGCTCAGCAGAGCCATGAGGTATGGCGTGGGGCGAACTACGGCAACCAGGACAATTGCTAAGAGCTCTATATTTTCTAGGACGTATT